AAGGTGGGAGAGGAAGAGTCCCAGCCAGAATGGGTTTCACTTGTGAATTCTACCAAACATTCAGGGAAGAGTGGATACCAATTTTACTTAAATGATTCCAGAACATAGAAAATGAAGGCGTGATCTCCAATCCCTTCCTTTATTTGAAGGGGTACCTCATAAGGTAGCATAACCCTGATACCAAAACCAAACCAAAAACCACTAAAAAAGAGAATTACAGACCCATAACCTTAATTACCAGAGACAAAAATTCTCAAAAATTTTTCTAGCTAACAGAATTCAACAGCATATCAAAAAAAAAAATCCCAATACATCATGATTAAGTGCGATTCATACTAGGGCTGCAGCAATGGTTTTCAACATTAGAAAATGAATCAAAGTACTTTATCATGTAAAGAAAACTGAATCAAAGAATCATATGATCATCACAATAGTAGAGAAAATTATTTGATAAAATACTTTCCTGATAAAAACTGTCAGCAAAATAGGCAGAGAAGGAAAATTCCTTAACACAATTAAGGGAATTCGTGTAAAACCAACAGCCAATATTAGTCTCAATGTAGAAAGACGCAGCATTCCACGTGAGATGGAGAAGGAAGCAAGGATGCCCTTTATCACCCTTCTTATTCAATATTATACTGGAATTCCTAGCTAGAGCAATTATCCAACAAGGAAAAATTAAGTGTATCCAAATTAGAAAGAAAACTGAAAATCTCTTATTCATAGACAATATCATCCCATACTTAGAAAATCATAAAGACTCCAGAAGAAAGTTACTGGGACAAATCAGAGGATCCAGCAAAATGAGAAGGTCCTAGATTTACACCAACAAGGCCAAGTCTTAATAGGAAATAATTTTAAAAAAACAAGTAGCATTTATAATATCTCCCTAAACGAAGAAAACAATAAAACCCTGCTGCAAAAAAACTAAAGGAAAGCTGCACAAATGGAAAGACATGATATGTTCATGGATTGGAAGACTTAATATTGTGAAATATCAAAACCACCAAGGGTGATCTAAAGATATAATGCAATTTTGATCCAAATCCCGACATCACTTTATTGAAATGGAAAAGCTAATCTCCAATTTTATGTGGAATGGATGGAGCTCCTGATTAGTTAAGCAACACTGAAGAAGACTACAAAAAAGGAGGCCTCACATTTCCTAGTCTCAAAATTTATGCTGTAGTATGATAATCAGAACAGCCTGGTACTGACCCAATGACAAACACGTAAACAATTGAAATAGAATTGATAACGTGGTCATAAATTCATCTAGCTATGGCCAACCCATCTTCAATAAAGAGCCAAAGTCCACTCAGTGCAGAAGGAGCAGCCTTTTCAACAAATGCTGGTTGCAAAACCAGATATCCACCGTCTGCAGAAAAGTGGATCAAGATTCATATCTCACACCATGAACAAAAATGAACTCAAATGCCTCTAAATGCTAAAGCTAAAACTATAAAATTCCTGGGAAATAACATAGAGACAAAGCCAGGGGACCTCATCTTTCACAACACCAGCCAATCAAACAAACCTGAAAAATCCTGAATAACAGATGATTGCAGACTTTGCCAAGGGAGTTAAAAGAAACAGGGAAAAAAATGTTTAACAAAGATATCCAGACTAGAGAAAATAATAATCTTTGATCAAGACTGATAAGTATCTTATATCTAAACTATATAGACAACTTCAAAAAGTCAACAACAAACAAGACAAGCAATGCAGCCAGATAAACAATCCATGGACGAAGGCATGAACAGATCATTCACCGAAGAGGAAATTTAGGTGACCCACCAATACATTAAAATATACTTATGATCATTAGCCATTAGATACTGCAAACCAAAACTGGTGAGATATCAGTTCACCCTGCAAAAATGGCAATTATAAAATAAAACCAGGAAACAGTATATGCTGGTGAGGTTTGGGGGATTAGAATCGTGATGCATTGCTGGTAGGACTATAAAATGCTATAACCAATGATGATGGAAAATAATCTGGCACTTCCTCAAGTATAATTTTAGGATCCTGCAAGCCCAATTCTAAGTATGTATCCGAGAAACATAAAAATCAGTGACACAGACATAGTCACACTATGATCATTGCTACATATTTATAATAGTAAAAAGATAGAAGCAATCATGGGTAATTGAATAATGGTGGTACATACATACATCTAGAATATTATGCAACTCTAAAGAGTAATGAGTATGCACAGCGTATGATGAAATGAATGGATCTGGAGGACAGTATTCTGAGTGAAATATGTCAATCATAAAAAGATAAATAATATGAAGAGTCAACAATAGATAGACACATGGAACCAGCGTTCTTCTATCAGAAATGGAAAGAAGAGGACAGGGGAACCAAGTTCTAGATCGTAGGCATTTGTTTCATTTGGTGTTTGCAAAGGGAAGCCTAAATATCAGTGAAATCAATACAATTTGACCAAAATGAATAAAGATACTAGACGTACACGAGAAAAAAGAGACACTTTTAGCAAAAACTGTAATCTAGTCCTGTGAGGTGGTAAGTTAACTGTTGGGTTACTACCTGGAAGATCAGCAGTTTGAAACCACCAGCTGCATTGTGGGAGAAATGAAGGGTTTCCTGGTGTTACAAAGAGTTACTGTCTCAGAACCCCACAGGGGCAGTTCTACCCTGTCCTATAGGGTTACTATGAGTCAGAATCTACTTGATGGCATTGAGTTTAAAATTTTATAATACAGTAATAGTAAAAACAACCAAAAGTAGATACA